CCTGGCCTCGGGGTGGGTGGCGCTGCAGGAGAACCTCTGCCCGCGGTTCCACGGCTCGGCGCAGCCCGGCAGGACACTGGACACGCTGTAGCAGCCGCAGGCATCGCGCTGCGGGGCCTCCTGGATGGCATCCTTCCCGCCCGTGGGGTTCCAGGTGAAGCTGGCACCCTGGGGCTTTCTCAGGCCACTCAGCGTGCATGTGAGGTTGGCACTGGAGCCCAGGAGCAGGTCCTCGATGGCTGGCGGGCTCAGGGTCAGGCGGGGCTGGCAGTTCGAGCATGTGGGTGTCTTAACTGAGAGAGAGACAGAGCCCTCAGTGCCCCTGGGCCCACATCCCCTTCCCTCCTCCTGCTCCAGCCCCGCCCTCACACTCTCCCAGCTCTGCGGGGGCTCCACCTGAGCCCACTGCTGTGTGAGGGGAGCCCTGGTGAGTGTGGTGGTGCCCCCACCCCGCCCTGGCCCGACCTCTGACCTTTGCAGGGCACGTTCTTGGTCTTGCTGGGGCTGGAGTTGTGCTGCACGTGGCAACTCTGGGTCGCGCCATCTGGGCACTGGTCGGCCGGCAGGGTCAGCTGGCTGACCATGGTGTACAGGCCCCGGGAGGTGGGGGCGGGGAGAAAGTTCCGGATGGAGGTGCCCGGCCCGCTGCTGCCCCAGGTCACGTTCACGGGCGCCGATGGGAAGAAGTCCTGGACCAGGCAGCCGATGACCACATGACCAGCTGAGTCGGTGCTCGTGAGGCTCAGTGGGAAGAGTGTGGGGCTGCTGGGGCTCACTGCAACACAGGACATGCTGTGAGACCCCTGACAGCCCCACGCGGATGAGACGATGCCCACCGCCCCTCTGCCCTGGGCAAACAGGCACAGAGAGGGCGAGTAACTGCCCTAAGGTCACTCAGCCTGAAGGCCAGGCATCGGGGTTGGGACTGGCCGCCGAGTCCAGCCGCATTGTTTCTGGACACACTGCTCAGAGCTCCAGCACGTGGACCGGGACACGCTCCTTACACAGGCCACGTGCGAATGGAGCCACGTCATCCACACAGCTCTCCATGGACCAGCTGAGTCAGTGGGCACCACTGGGGCCTCAGCTCCCTCTGTGCAGTGGGCGTGGCCATGTCTCTCCCAGAGTTCTGGGGTCATGAAAGGTGGGCCCAGAGGGGGACACAGGTGAGCACCGAGGGGTCTGGCCCTGCTGCTGGCCTGCCCCGAGGGCCAGCCTTGCTGTGTTGGAGGGCATACACAGAAGAGAGGGGCCTGGGCTTCCATGGGCCACTCAGACTTCCCTGGTCAGAGTCCAGTCTAAGCAGTCTCCTCTGCAAACCACCGCAGCCCCAGCAAGCAGAGGCCCACCGCAGGGCCTACGAAGCTCTGGAGACTAGAGACTCGACCAAACCAGCCCTGTGAGGTGTCCCACCCAGACAGGCTGGGCACACAGGACACCACTGGTCTGTTTCTGATTCTCTCAGAGACATGGTGGGAGAAGAGAGGGCACAGGTACCTCTGATTGCATGGCCCTCATGTGCCCTTGGAAACACAGGGGGCAGCCGGGGTGGGGAACTGGCTCTGGAGGTGATCCATACTGAACCCAGGTCCTCCCATTTGCCAACTGGTAGCCGGCTCAGCTCAGTCCCTCTCAGCCCCGCTCAGCCCAGTTCACTCAGCCCCGCTCAGCCCATCTCAGCCCAGCTGAGCCCAGCTCAGCCCACTTCATTCAGCCCAGCTCAGCCCAGTTCACTCAGCCTAGCTCAGGCAGCTCAGCCCAGCTCAGCCCAGCCCAGCTCAGCTCAACCCAGCTCAGCCCAACTCAAGCCAGCTCAGCCCAGCTCAGCCCAGTTCAGCTCAGCTCAGCTCAGCTCAGCTCAGCCCAGCCCAGCCCAGCCCATCTCAGCTCAGCCCAGCTCAGCCCAGCCCAGTTCACTCAGCCCAGCTCAGCCTAGTTCAGCCTAGTTCAGCTCAGCTCAGCCCAGCTCAGCCCAGCCCAGCCCAGCCCAGCGCAGCTCAGCTCAACCCAGCTCAGCTCAGCTCAGCTCAGCCCAGCTCAGCCCAGTTCAGCTCAACTCAGCTCAGCCCAGCTCAGCCCAGCCCAGCCCAGTTCACTCAGCATAGCTTAGCCCAGTTCACTCAGCTCAGCCCAGCTCAGCCCAGCTCAGCCCAGTTCAGCTCAGCCCAGCTCAACCCAATCCAGCCCAGCTCAGCCCAGCTCAACCCAGCCCAGTCCAGCTCAGCCCATCCCAGTTCACTCAGCCCAGCTCAGCCCAGTTCACTCAGCTCAGCCCAGCCCAGCCCAAATTAGCTCAGCCCAGTTCATCTCAGACCAGTTTAGCCCAGCTCAGCCCAGCTCAGCCCAGCTTAGCCCAATCCAGCCCAGCTCAGCCTAGCTCAGCCCAGTTCACCCAGTCAAGCCCAGTCCAGCCCAGTTCACTCAGCCCAGCTCAGCCCAGTTCAGCTCACTCAGCTCAGCCCAGCTCACCTAGCCCAGCTCAGTTCACTCAGCCCAGCTCAGCCCAGCTCAGCCCAATCCAGCCCAATCCAGCTCAGCCCAGCTCAGCCCAGCTCAGCCCAGCCCTGTTCAGCCCAGCTCAGTCCAGCTCAGCCCAGCTCAGTCCAGCCCAGTTCAGTCCAGTTCAGCTCTGCCCAGCCCAGCTCAGCCCAGCTCAGCCCAGTTCAGCTCTGCCCAGCCCAGCTCAGCCCAGCTCAACCCAGTTCACTCAGCCCACCCCAGCCCAGCCCAGGCCACAGTATCCCAGCTCATCCCTGTCCGGGTAGAGCATCCTGCCCTGGGTCCTCTTGGCTCTCGGTCCTGTTTGCCTTTTCTCTCTCTGTCTTGGTGTCTGCTCTCTGCATCCCTGGTCCCAGGACGGCTCAGAGTACCTGATGAGGAGTGGATGGGGCAGCATCCAGGACCCACCTGCTTGAGGCTGCTGGAGGGTCTGAGGCCGAGAGCCCCAGGCCCCCGGCCAGCTGCCCTGCCCGAGGCTGTGTGGCGCAGAGACCCCTGCCCCTGCCGGCTCCCGCTCGCTCTGGGAAGGCTAAAACTGAAGGGCAGCCTGGGGAGGGGCTTCAGACCGTGTCATGACCCTAGATGGGGTCACTCGCCACTTCCTGTCCCACCAGTCTGGGCTGCCCGTCTGCACGTCATGTCTGGTCTGTGGTCTGGCTGTGGCAAGGCCAGGTGTGTGCGGCCTGGGCTGTGACCCTCAGGAGCCTGGTCTGGCGGTGGGTCCTGGCTCGGGTGGCTGCTCATGGGGCTGGGCCGGGGGCCGAGCTGCAGGGACGCAGAGGCCGAGGCAGTGCAGCGGGAGCCGAGGGACAGGCTGAGGTGGCTCCAGGCTGTGAGGGCTGCGGGGCAGGGGTCCCAGGCACAGGGCTGGCCCGAAGTGACCCCCGGTGAGCAGGCCACAGGGTGGGCAAGAAGACTGTGAGCATCTGGGGCCCAGCCTGAAGCCAGGGTGGGCATGAGGCCACCCCTGCAGGTTGGGGCAGCACGTGCTGCCTTAGCCCACATCTGCCCATTTTCCCATCCAGGGTTTTCCCACAGGCCCCACGGGCCCCACAGGTGACCCCCACTCCTAGGAGGTGGCCCGGCCTGGACACACAAGGGCAGCTGGGCCTGGCTGGCGCCTGTGTTTACCTGTCAGTCATTACTTCACATGCAGAAGGTGCTGACTGTCCCCTCCAGACTGCGCACCTGCTGGTCAGTGACAATGGCCCCAGGGAGGTCAGTTCCTCACAGGGGTCAGGGGCCCAGGGCAGGCGGAGCCGAAGGCAGAGGGTGGACAGAGGCGGAGAGCTTGGGGCACCTCAGAGCCTCTGGGTGTTCCTAGGACCCCAGGATTCCAGGGTGCCAGGCCGCCTGGGTTTTGTCCCAAAGCCGTCTGCACAGCCTCTGGTACCAGCGCTGTCTGCATGGGGATGAGTGTCCAGCAGCTCTGCCTTCTTTCTTTTGTTGTTGATCCTCACCCCAGGATATTTTTCCGTTGATTTTTAGGGAGAGTGGAAGAGAGAGGGTCAGACAGAAATACATCGATTGGTTGCCTCCTGCATGAGCCCTGACCAAGGAGAAGCCTGCAACTGAGGTACGTGCCCTTGACCGGAATCGAACCCGGGACCCTTTGGCCCACAGGCTGACACTCTATCCACTGAGCAAAACCAGCGAGAGCCGGCTCGGCCTTCCTGCCTTCCCGGGAACCCCCAGGCCCTGTGCTCTCCATGGGGTCCAAAGCCCGGCCCCAGGGAGCAGTGGCACCAGCAAGGGATGCGTGACGGGGCCTCATGGCTGGCACAGTGCCTGGCATGGACGAAACCAAGGAGGGCAGTGGGGGCACTGGGGGGACTCAGCCAGGCTCACACAGGGATGGTACGCCCCAGTGTGGGTGTAGACGGGCGTGTGATTTGGGGCAGAAGAGGAGGCGTCCATTGGGGCCTTGAGACACGACCTTGACTCATGATGACCGGTGGTGGCGGCAGCTGGCAGAGGCCCGAGTGGGAGTGTCGGGCTGCTCGAGGGGCCCGCTGGGAGGGGAGAGCTGGGGACGGGTCCTCCCCGGGCTTCTTCGGAAGGAGGGGGGCCTCTGCGTGGCCAAGCCTTGCCGGCTTGTGGGGCGTCCATGACAAAGGACCACAGGCTAAGTGGCTTCAAACAACAGAAATTCATTCTCCGTCTGGAGGCCGGACGCCCATCAAAATGTGGACAGGGCGGCGCGCCCTCCGGAGGCCCACTCCCAGCCTCTGGGCTCCGCGCGTCCCTCGGCCGGTGGACACAGCGCCCTGTCTCCTCGGTGTCCGCATCTCCGCTTCTCTCTCGTGACGGCGCTCGCCAACCAGCGGACTGGGGGCCACGGGGTGCTCTCATCTTAAGGCCCTCAACTTTAGTCACGTCTGCAAGGACCCTTTTTCCAAATGAGGTTCCAGGCACAGGTTCCAGGGGGATGTGGACCCAGCTTTGGGGTTACCCTTCAGGCCACTGTGGGGGTTAAGAGGGGGAGGGAGTGGAGAGAGGGGCCCGGGAGGCAGCCTCTTGCTGCTGGGAGGCGGGTGGCAGGTCCCACAGCCCGGGGGTGGTCCTGTCCCCTCCCTGCCCTGCTGTGCTCAGGCCCCAGGGGTTGGCCCCCAGGTGGGGTGGCCTGCAGGTGGGATGACCTGCACGCCTCCCCCCTGGGCTTGGCAGAGACGCAGTTCAACGTGTGTGAGCCGAGCCCTTGTCCTTGCTCTGGGGTCTGTGGGGTGTCTCATGGTCTGGGGTGCAAGTCAGAGAGCAAGGATGCTGAGCTGGGCTGGGGGCTCCCAGGGCAGGAGACCAGGGGGAGGGCAGGAGGGCACCAGGCTCTGCTGGACAGGCCTGTGTAGGGGGCAGGGAGATCTTGCTCCTGGCGGCTGTGTGTGCATCTGTGTGTGAGAGCATATGTCCCCAAGTGTGTGACAGCGTGTGTCCCTGAGTGTGTCAGTGAGTGTGTGTCCCCAAGTGTGTGTCCCCGAGTGTGTGTCTGTGTGAGTGCACAGCAGGGCGGGCCGCAGCCTGAAGGCCCCTGCCCTCAGTGCCCTGTGCCCCGGTGCCCTATTTGGCATGCCCCCAGCGTCTCTGGATAGGCCCCAGAGTTGCCCAGTCGTGGCCTCTCTACTCCAATGGGGTTGGGTGCCCAGGTCTGAGCCTGGCAGGCTGTGCGCTGGTGTTTCTATCCTCGTCCACATCGGCTGTGTGATGTGGGTCCCCCCAATCCCCCCTCACGGAGCAGGCTCTCTGAAGGGCCATCGGGGGGCTGAAGTCTCCCGTCCAGGGGGCCTGGGTGTTTGGATGCTGGCAACACAACCTCTGGGCCTGCAGAGTGGCCTTAACACTGTCCACACCGCAGATGGGGTGAGACCCTGAGCAGACTCCCCCCACTCCTACCCTCACCCCACCCCCTTCCTCCTATGGTACCTTTTCTAGTTACTGAACATGCTCTTCCTGTTATTGGCCACTTGGTTTTTTCTTGCTGTGAAGGACCCACTGCTCACTGTCCTCTTTATTGGCTCCTGAGCGCTCTTTGTATGTGAGATAACCCTGCTCTTCATCACGTGTGTTCACGCGTTCTCCTCCCATTTCCAGCGGCTGCACAGAGACCCTCAGGGGCAGGTCCCCCAACCAGGGCAGCTGCCTCTTTACCTGGGGAAGCATGGCCTGGTGCCCCCACTGCCCTTGGCCCTCTGGCCGTCTCTTGAGCTCACCTGGTTCCTTTTCCAGCAGGATGGCGGCCAGCCCCACACAGCCCACCCAGTCACCCAGACTGGCCCAGGGAGAACGGGGGCCAAGGACGGCCCGTGTGTGTGCTCAGCGGGCGGGTGGCTGGGGCGGTGACTGGGGGAGGCTGATCCTGGCCCTGCCTGGGGATTGGAAGCTGTGTCCCTGTGGCTGGTACTGAACACAGGAGTCGGGGTGCTGGCTTCGTGTCAGTGTGGGAAGGGGCAGCGAGTCTGGGCCACAGACCAGCAAGCGGGTGTGATGGGGGCCAGGCCAGGTGTTTCTGGGGGCGTCGAAGGGCCCCTTGCAGCCCCAGAAGTGCCCTGTGCCCCTCGTCTGACCACCCCCATGGGACCACAGGCACCACCCCCAAAGCACACCCAGGGGACCTGGAATTTGTAAAAAAGGAACTTTACTAAGAAACCCAAAGGGAAGGAAACCGAACTGCCAAACAGGAGTGGGAGGTGGGACAAGGCTGTGGTGGGTGGGCTTGGGGCTGCTGGACGGTGTGGCCGCTGTGTGGACCCCGTGGGACCCCTTCTCTGCCTGCGGGACCCCTTTTCCCACCAGTGAGGCCCTGCCCACAGCCCCACACAGTCTCGGAGCCTCTCCCAGAAGGGCTTCTCTGCCTCCACATCCGGCAGGGATAGGGGTGGGGTGGCGGCAGGAGGGTGAGCAGAGGGCCCAGGGCCCCAGGGGCAGAGCCCTCAGACTGAGAGGAAGACCAGGGAGTGAGACCTGGGGCTGGACATGGCTCTGGGTCCTCGGCTTGGCTCCGGACTCTGGGCGGTGGGCCAGGCCATGGCTCCAGGCCTCACTGTGGTCCAGGAGTTGTCCAGTAAGAATTGGAGCAGCCCCGACCTCAGGGGCTGGGGTCAAGCAGCCCTGGCCACTCTGGGGGAGGGTAGATGGGGTGGGACCGGGGCTGTGATTGGTGGCCCCCTGGGTGCCAGGGCCTTGGGCCTGAGCTGGAACCTTCCGGATGTCCATGTCCGTGAGCTGTGGTTGGATCCCGGACGCTGGCCCCTTTGGAGGTGCGTCAGCTCCCGTTAGCCTGGGGCAGAGCAGCCTCAAGGACGCTCAGGCCGGGGGAGGAAGGCAGCGAGGCCAGAGCTGCTGCTCCGCACCCAGGCCGCCGGCCATGCGATGTCCTTGATGTTCTCGTAGTCGTGGGTGGCCTGGGGCGGCCCCGGCAGGACGGCGCCCAAGACCCACTTCACCTGCGAGGAGGGCGTGTGTGAGGGCCTCCGCCCCGTCTCAGTCTATTTTTTTTGTTGTTGCTGTTAATCCTCAGCAGAGGATTTTTTTTCCATTGATTGTTAGGGAGAGTAGAAGGGAAGGGGAGAGACAGAGAGAAACATCGATGTGAGTCACATCGATTGGCTGTCTTCCGCACGCACCTAGACCAGGGCCGGGGAACTTGCAAACAAGGTATGTGCCCTTGACCAAAATCGAACCTGGGACCCTTTGGTCCACAGGCCGACGTTCTACCCACTGAGCAACACTGGCCATGGCTCTCTGTCCCTCTTGCTGAGTCTCCCACCCCCACCCCACCGGGCCTGGAATGGGGGCAGGGTCCCACCTTGAAGAGGGTGATGGAGGCGCCATAGCTCACACTGAGCAGGAAGAGCGCGATGAAGATGAAGAGGCTGCTCCACAGTCCGTCCAGCTCCTCACCCTCGGCCGCCCCCACACACAGGTCCTGCAGGTCCAGCTCTGCGGGTGCAGGTCAGTCAGCCCCCAACCTCGGTGTGGGGGTCAGTGAGCCCCCCAGCCTGGGTGTGGGGGTCGGTCAGCCCCAGCCTGGGTGTGGGGGGTCAGTCAGCCCCCAACCTCGGTGTGGGGGTCAGTGAGCCCCCCAGCCTGGGTGTGGGGGTCGGTCAGCCCCCAGCCTGGGTGTGGGGGGTCGGTCAGCCCCCAGCCTGGGTGGGGGGTCAGTCAGCCCCCAGCCTGGGTGTGGGGGCTCAGCCAGCCCCCAGCCTGGGTGTGGGGGGTCAGCCAGCCCCCAGCCTGGGTGTGGGGGGTCAGTCAGCCCCCAGCCTGGGCGTGGGGGGTCAGTCAGCCCCCAGCCTGGGTGTGGGGGGTCAGTCAGCCCCCAGCCTCAGTGTGGGCAGCACAGAGCCCTGCAGCCTGGTCCCTGCAGCCTGGGGCTCAGGCAGTCCCTGTCCAGTCTGGTGACCTCTTCCCAGGGCAGCCGGCCCACCTGGAGGGCTGGGGTCTGAGACTCTGCCTGGCCCGGCCCAGGGTGGCTGGTGGGAGGGCTGCAGCCCGCTGCCTTCTGCCCCTACTCCAGTGGCTCCTTTTCTCTCCCTCCATCCCTCAGGCTGCTATCCGGACCCCTGGTCTCCCTAGCCAGGCCCGTGGCCCTCACCGCAGCTCCGGCTCTGCCCAGCTCCTACCCGGGAGGATGGCGCCCACCCAGCCCCGTGCTCACTCAGCTTCTCGCTTGCGGCCCGGAGACCCCTCTAAACTGTGCACAGCCTGCTGCCCTGAGTCCTCAGGGGGATCTGAGCCCCACAGCCTGGGCCATCGCTCCAAGGGGCCTGGCCACGTGGGGCCCGAGCTGCCCCTGGCCCTGTGCTGGTCCCACCGCTGTCCCTCGGCCTCCTGTTTCGAGGACTGAGGTGTGCCCGCGTACAGGCGCCAGCTCTCGGGCAGCGCACCAGCCGGTCCCTCTGGGCGGTGCCCTCAGAGTGTGGGCTGGCGTTCCCCACTTCCCATGAGAAATGCTCACGAATGCTGGGGTGTGTGTGTGTGCGTGCATGTGTGTGTGTGCACATGTGTGTGCGCATGCGTGTGCGCGTGTGTGCACAGGATGGATTGGGGGTCTACACTGTTGGATGTGCACACGAGCTTGGAGTGGAGGAGGGCTTGGTCCCTGACTCTGATCCCTGCAGCCTCCAGGCCCCAGACACAGGGCCAGCAGCCTGCTCTGGGGTGTGTGTGTGTCCATGTGTGTCAGTGCAACCATGTGTGTGTCCACATGTGTCTCTCTCTGTGTTAGTATGTCAGTGTGTGTCTTTGCATTGTGTCTATGTGTATCTGTGTGTAGCTGTCTGTCCGTGTGTGTGTGTGTCCATCTATGTGTGTCTCTGTGTGTGTGCCCTGTGCATCAGTGTGTGTGTCTGTTCCATGTATGTGTCTGTCCGCTGTGGACGCAGCTGGCAGGGAGGGTTTGGGGGGAGGCCTGCTGGGCTCCCAGCCAGAGGGAGGGGGTCTTCTCCATGCCCGTTTTGGGTCCTGTGGCCCAGGCATGATGGGGAGCAAGGATTCGGGGTGGCCTGGGTAAGAGGTAGACCAAGGGAGGCCGCCTAGGAGGGCATGGGCGACACATTTGCCCACACGGGGCACGGAGGTTGGCGTTGGGTGGCGCTGTTGGGTCACTGCAGAGTGTGTGGGGGCAGGGCCGGCATGGCAGGCGTGACTGCGTGTGAGGCCCATGGGGGCATGCTTGTGAGCTTTTGAGGGCCGGCCTGTCCCGGGACAGCCTGGGTGGAGTGAGGTGAGGATCAGGGTGGGGTGGGCTCGGGGTTGGGACCTGTCCCTGCCCATGTTTCTGGGGATGCCAGCTGTGGGGCTGACGGGGGCTGTCTGGCTCCCTGCGTGTGGGCGCCTGTGTGGGCATCGCACTCAGCCCGTCTCTCCACCCAGAAGGGTTTGTGTGTGCAGCTGCACCTGCGGGAGTTTGTCTGTGTCCAGAGGGGCCAGCAGGAGCCTGGGGTGGAGACCAAGGCCTCCAGGGCCTCCGGAGAGGCAGGGGCTGTGGGCTGAGCTGGGGTCCCCATGGTCCTCCCCTGGGTCCACCCTCTGGTTCCCAGGGCTCCTTGGAGTGGGCAGGATGCATGGGGGCTTGGCAGGAGGATGGTGGACAGAGCCCCGCTCAGCCCCGCCCAACCCTCCTGTCCCCTCTCGGAAGTCCTTTCCTCTTTGCCAGACACCCCAGACTCCCAGTCCTACCCCGCAAGAACCAGTGCACCCAGGCTCTGAGCAGGCACTGAGTTTATTGACAGCAGGAGCAGGGGCGGCAGGCCCTCCCTCCGTCCCAGCGGGAGCCTGGAGGGGGCGGGAGGCAGGGCCTTAATTACCAGGGTCTTTGGACACTGATCGCTCGAGGGTCTGTGAGTCGGGCAGAGCCTCGTGGGTCACTCGGCAGGTGAATCTGCTCCTCTTCTCCCAGTCGGCCTGGCTGACCTCCAGGCGGCTGAAGACGAAGAAGGCAGGGCTGGCGCCCCGGTCCCTGAGGGGCTGCGTGGTGGCGTACTGGTCGCTGGGGATCAGGGCGCCGTCCCGCAGCCACTGCACCAAGATGTCCGCGGGGAAGAAGTTCTGGACCAGGCAGGTGAGGGTGACCTGGGCCCCCTGCTCCTTCTCAGGCGGCGGGAACACGAAGACCTCGGGGGCAGCGCGCTTGCCTGTGGACGGGCGTGGGGCCTCGGCCCAGCCGCTCACCGGGGGCCTTGGCGATGGTGCGCACGATGGCCTGGGGCAGGTCTGGGTGGGTCAGCTTGCACTTGTAGGTCTCGCCCTCGATCCAGTCGCTGGCGTCCACGGGCAGGGTGGACGTGACGGAGTAGGTCATGTTGAAGTGGCGCTTGCTGCTCTGGGTGGCCTTGGTCAGGAGGCCCCCACCCTCCCGGGACCACTGCAGGTTCACGCCCTCCAGGCTGGCCAGGTCCACGGCCAGGCAGGACACCTTGGGCGACTTGTGGACGTACAGGTCCAGGGGGCTGGGCGGGATCAGGTAGACGCTCACGCCACGGGGCTCGGACTCTGGAGGGTGCAGAGGGGCTGCGTGAGGCTGCGTCCGGCCCCTGCTGGCCCTCAGAGGCGGGTGTGGGTGCGGGGAGGGCTGTACCTGGGCAGGTGCGGGCTTGGGCCTTAATGGTACAGCCATGCAGGCTGACCTGGCAGGCGTAGGTTCTCAGGGACACCCACTCCCCCTGGCTGATGTTGAGCCGGCTGGAGGTGGAGGCCAGCGCGCCCTCCTGCCGAGGGGGGTCGGTCGTCGGGAACAGGTTCTCGCTCCTCTGATCGTCCACCAGCCAGGTGACCTTGAGGTCGCCCGGGGTGAAGTCGGTGATGAGGCACAGCAGCTGGATGGTGGCGTGGGTGTCGCCGCTGGGGTCGCAGGACGAGTGGTAGAGCCTCACCGTGGGCTGGGTGACGTTCGCGGCGCACCCTAAGGACAGAGGCGGCGGGCCCCACGGAGGCCTCTCTGAGCCTCTGAGCCCCGCTCCGCTGCCCTCCTGCCCGGCCTGCTCCTCGCCCGCTGGCCTCGGCCTACCTATGGTCTTGCTGACGATTGTGGACCCGGCGTGCTCCACGCTGCAGGTGAATTTCTGTTTGGCCCATTGGCTAGAGGCGGTCACCAGGCTGCTGGTGGTGTAGCGGCTGGAGTTCAAGTTGAAGACAGCGGGGAGGGTCACGACGCTCGTATTCAGGGATCCTGTGTCCCAGGTCAAGGTCACGGTCACGGGCTCTGGGATGTAGTCCTTGACCAGGCAGCCCAGCATCACAGAGGCGGGCCCCCCGGCGGTGCCTCTGGAGCAGGGGGCCAAGGGGAAGACGTCTGGGTGCCACATGGAGACTGCGGGATGGAACGGGGCCCCCGTCAGCACTGGCGCCTTGGTCTTGGGCAGCCTCTCCCAGGGCCCCGGGAGTCTGGGAGGGAGCATGGGCCCTCCTTCCAGCCTGGGGCGCGGAGCAGCCCAGGCTCATTTGGGGCTCATCCCCGGTTCCTCCCAGAAGCCTGTGCCGCCCGAAGCTGCTGCTGCCCCCGCCCCTCGTCGGACCCCTCAGCCCTGAGGGCAGCACATGCCACCCGCCCACGAGGGAGCTCTCCGCTCCTCAAGCAGCAGAGGCTCAGAGCCATCGCACCCCGCCCCCCGACTGCGGAGCTGGGACCCCGAGCCCCCCAGGGATCAGCAAGATGTCTCCTCTGCCCCCACCCTCAGCCCCCCCACCAAGGCCTGGGGTCCAGAGGCCCCCAACCCATAGGAATCATGAGTGTGGCCCATCCCACCCCCACCTCCTGCTACTGGGCTGGACGCTCTGCAGCTGAGGGTGCCCCTTCACCCCACCTCTCTGACCAGCCAGGCTTCCCCACTGACCTCCCGAGGGAGCCCGCTTCAGGCCCGCCCCCAGCAGTGACCCCGCCTGCCGTCGCCTGGCCTGGGAACCCCAGACCTCAGCCCGTCGGACCCGGGCCCAGCTCTGTGCAGCCAGCCAAGCTCAGCCCAGCCCAGTCCAGGCTCAGCTCCAGGGAGCCCACCTGGGTCCATCTTGGCCCAGGTGAGCCCAGAATAGAACATTTCAAGCCGTGAAACTCATCTTATCTCTGTCTACAAAATCAAACAAAATGCATTCTACCTCATCCATCTCCACCCGCCAGCCAAGGACAACCTTCCTCATGGATGGGGTACATTTAGCACAACTGAGCCAAGTCAGGAGGATTTCAGAAAACAGCACTACCCTGCGGGACCAGGCAGAGCCCAGCACAGCCCAGCCCAGCTCAGCCCAGCTCAGCTCAGAACAGCTCAGCCCAGCTTAGCCCAGCCCAGCCCAGCCCAGCCCAGCCCAGCCCAGCCCAACTCAGCTGAGCCCAGCCCAGCTCAGCTCACCAGCCCAACCAAGCCCAGCTCAGCTCAGCCCAGCTCAGCTCAGCCCAGCCCAGCTCAGCTCAGCCCAGCTCAGTTCAGCCCAGTTCAGCCCAGTATAGCTCAGCCCAGCCTGGTTCAGACCATCTCAGCTCAGCTCAGCCCAGGTCAGCTCAGCCCAGCCCAGCTCAGTTCAGCCCAGCTCAGCCCAGCTCAGCTCAGCCCAGCTCAGCCCAGCCCAGCCCAGCTCAGCTCAGCCCAGATCAGCTCAGCTCAGCTCACCAGCCCAACCAAGCCCAGCTCAGCCCAGCTCAGCCCATCACAGCCCAGCCCAGCTCAGCTCAGCCCAGCTCAGTTCAGCCCAGTTCAGCCCAGTATAGCTCAGCCCAGCCTGGTTCAGACCATCTCAGCTCAGCTCAGCCCAGGTCAGCTCAGCCCAGCCCAGCTCAGTTCAGCCCAGCTCAGCCCAGCTCAGCTCAGCCCAGCCCAGCTCAGCCCAGCTCAGCCCAGCTCAGCTCAGTACAGCCCAGATCAGCCCAGTTCAGCTAAGTTCAGCTCAGCTCAGCCTGGTTCAAACCAGCTCAGCCTAGCCCAGCCCAGCTCAGCCCAGTTCACTCAGCCCAGCTCAGCCCAGCTCAGCTCAGTACAGCCCAGCTCAGCCCAGCTCAGCTCAGTACAGCCCAGCTCAGCCCAGCTCAGCTCAGCTCAGCCCAGCTCAGCTCAGCTCAGCCCAGCCCAGCTCAGCCCAGTTCACTCAGCCCAGCTCAGCCCAGTTCAGCCCAGTTCTGCTCAGCTCAGCCCAATTCAACCCAGCTCAGCCCAGCTCAGCCCAGCTCAGCCCAGCTCAGCCTAGTTCACTCAGCCCAGCTCAGCTCAACCCAGTTTAGCCCAGCTCAGCCCAGCTCAGCCCAGCTCAGCCCAGTTCACTCAGCCCAGCTCAGCTCAACCCAGTTTCGCAGACCAGCCAAGCCCAGCTCAGCCCAGTTCAGCCCAGCTCAGCCCAGTTCAGCTCAGCCCAGTTCACTCAGCCCAGATCAACCCAGCCCAGCTCAGCCCAATTCAACCCAGCTCAGCTCAGCTCAGCCCAGACCAGCCAAGCCCAGCTCAGCCTAGGTCACTCAGCCCAGCTCAGCCCAGTTCAGCCCAGCTCAGCCCAGTTCACTCAGCCTAGCCCAGTTCACCCATCCCATCCCATCCCATCCCATCCCATCCCATCCCTGAGGTTGGTGGGCCCAGTTCAGCCCAGTTCAGCTTGGCTCAGCTAAAGCTCAAGCTCAGCAGGGAACAGCCTGGTCCAGCCCAGCTTAGTCCAGCCCAGCTCAGCCCAGCATGGCCGAGCACCGCCCAGATTGACCAACCTGGCCCAGCTGAGCCGAGGACACCCCATCTCCCTTTAAACAACTCTGTCCACTTCAGCCACCTTTGGCCCAGCCCACCCCAGTGCAGACCCCTTATTCAGCCCAGCCCAGGCCGGAGGCTGTGCCCCAGGCTGGCCTGCTGTGTCCCCTGGCCCTAGGCTGGGGGCCGCCCTCCTGGCTGATCTCCGTGCAGCCCACTGCCCGTACCCTCTGCATGTTCCCTGCCCTGGGCCTGGGGCCCTGCCCAGCCTGTTCCACGGAGGCTCTTGGCTCCCTGTCTCCTCCAGGTTGGCTCTGGTCTTGGTCCTGCTTCCCTGTGTCCTCATTCAGGGGAGGGACAGCTGAGCGGTAAGCAGTGACCAGGAGGCCAGGGCCAGGCTGGGTGGGCATCCAGGTATCCTCTTCCGGGCAGTAGCCTGGGCGGCCTGTCCCTCACTGCTGCCTGGAGTAGCCCCGGAGTGGAAGTACCTGAACGCTGGGGCCTTGGTCAGGTGCCTGGCTGGCGAGGTGACTGGTGTGGCGACGGCGTGGCCCATCCCCACCACCCGTGGCTCCAGGGAAAGGCTCCCAGGCCGGGGAGCTCAACCTGTAGAAACCATTGTTGTTATTTTTACGTCCAGCCAATGGGGCGGGGGGAGGGGAGCTCTGCCTCATCGCTCTCGGCTAAAAATGGAATGGGAACCCCCGGCCCGCAGCCCTGGCAGTTCCCGCCTCTCTGTTCTTGGGAAGTCGATGGAGCGACCGCCGCCGGCGAGGTCCCCACGCAGGTGCTCTCCTGACCGTGCCGTGCCCCCTTTACCGCCCATGCAGCCTGCTCCCTGGGAGGGAAGGGCTGTGAATGTTTGTGCTGAGAGTGGAGGCCTGGTGGGCCATGCACTGACATGCGGACAGGGCCTCCCGCGGGCACGCTGCCCACCGTCATGGGTCTTGCCCCTGGAGGAGCGGGCTCCCGGGGTGCGTATGCAGGGCACGGGCCGTTAGGGACAGGAAGACCCTGGCTCTCCCTGGGCCCTGGCACATGCTGGCGGGTGACCATCACCCATGAGCTGCTCCCATGTCATGTCCTGGAGCTGGAGTCCCTGTCAGGGCTGTGACCGGTGGTCTGGCCCGTGGGGGCCAGAGGGGCCTGGGGGGAGGCTGGTGGTGACTGTGAGGTTGGCTACAAGACCCCTCTAGCCGCTGAAGCCTGGGGCCACCGTGCCACCGCCCTGCTGTGCGTGGCCACCAAGTGTGTGGGGCAGAGGGATGGCCTGGAGGTGCCCACGGCATCAACTCTGATTTGCTGGGGCGGCCGGCCCATCGTCGACGCTCTGGTGTGTGCCTTCATGCCGTGGACGTGTCCCACAGGCCTCTGTGTCCTCAGAACCCCCTGAAGGCCCCCCTCCCACCCAAGGGAACCTGGCAGTCCAGCTGGTCAGTGTGGGGTGCAGAGGCTTAGAGAGGACACATCAGGACCCTGTCCCCTGGGCCAGTTGTCCCCATGCAAGAGGCTGTGTGCAGGTGGCTCTGTCAGGCCCCGTGGCCTGGGGAGACCCCAAAAGGGCTGCTGCATGGAAGGCTGGGCAGGGGGCGGGGGGGGGCTGACGTGTACAGAGCAGGACACAGCAGGAGCCGCGGCCCCAGGGCAGACCGCCCTGGCCTATCACGCCCCACGCTTGGCTCCGGGGACGGGTGCTGCGCGGGAGGCAGTGGGGAATATGGAATTCCTTGGAAGAGCCCATGATTCTGAGAGAAACCACAGGCCTGGAGCAGGCAGAGCCCAGCTGGGCAGCTTGGTGGGCTTGGATGGTGGTGCCCGACCCTGCAGTCTTCACACATGGGGATGTGTGGGGCTAGGGCTCCGCTCAGCTGCCCTGGTCCCCGGCACCCCTGTCCATTCTCCCTGGGCTGTGGGCACATGGGGCCTGGGCCTCCGGCCAGGCCAGCCTCCTGGCTTTATCCTTACCTCCCAGATGGCGCAGGGATGCTGGCGCGGGGCAGGGGCCTGTGGAGGCGGGCGGGGGCCTGTGGAGGTGGCTCTATCTCCAGCCTGGGCTGCCCTGCTGGCCCCTTGGACTTGGAGGAGAATGTCTCCCACTCGGCTCTGAGCACACGGGTCTGCTGCTCCTTCCTCCCTGGGGCTGTCTCCCTGCCCAGGCCTGAGGAATCGCCCTTGAGCCGCCCCCTCTCTCCAGGGCTGGGCCTAGATGCCCCCTACCCAGCAGGCAAGTGCCCCAGCCTCCTCGGCCGCCCTGCTGTGGCCCTACCCCATCGTTCCTGTCCTTCAGGACTCAGGACAGAGCCTGCATCTAAACAAGCTGTGTCTCAGCTGTGCACATGTATGTGAGCGTGTGAATCGGCGTGGCACGCCCAATGCACATGTCTCCAGTGCACACATGTGTGTGATGCATGTGTCTTTCCGTATGCGGGCATGTATATAACCACATGTGGGTATGTCTATGAGGCATGCATGTGTCTCTCAGTGTGCACATGTGTAAGCATCTGTATGACATGCATGTGCCTCACTGTGTGCATACAGGTGTGCATGTGTGTGCACCTGTGTGACATGAACAGATCTCTCTGTGCACATGTGTGGATGCATGTGTCTGTATGATGTGAGTGTTTCTGTGTTCATACATGTGTACACATGTGTGTGGGTGCCTGCAGCTGTGTGACATGCACATGTGCATGTGTCTTCCCGGGCCCACCTCCTTCCTGGCACTGACGGAGCCACCCCAGGCTTCCTGCCATCCTTTGCACCCAGGGTGGCCCTGCACGTGGGCCCTGCCTTCCCGGGAGGGTACTGTGTCCTGATCTCCAGAAAGCATTACCTGGAGGCCGCAGCGCGCCTCCTGTCCTGATACCAATGCTCCCATTGCTAATGAACTCCCATTGCTAATGAGCTCCCATTGCTAACACGCTCCCATTGCTAACGAGCTCCCATTGCTATGAGCTTGTGTGTCTGCAGGCACTCAGGCGCCCCGGTCCCTCCCTGTGCTTGTCCTCACCTCATTTCCTAAAGTGTTCTTGGCATTTTACATCCTGAGGCCGCCAACACGGTGGGAGATGGAGCCCAGGAGCCGATGGCACCGGGCGGGGGATGGAGCAGGGGAGCTGATGGCGCCAGGTGGGGGATGGAGCAGGGGAGCTGATGGCGCCGGGTGGGGGATGGAGCAGGGGAGCTGATGGCGCCAGGTGGGGGATGGAGCAGGGGAGCTGATGGCGCCGGCGGCCGTCTGCCCTGTTGACCGTTTGGAAACAGGGTCTTTGCCAGTGAAATTCGGTTTGGGATCTCGAGATCACACTTGATTTGGGATGGGTCCCGAGTCCCATGACCGGTGGACTTCGAAGACGGTGTGACACAAGAGGCACGTGAGCTCATTGGCAGGGTCTTGGGAATCTGCAGGGCAGTCATTCCGAACGCTGATCCCTGGTGACTGTTAAACGTGGGATGACCCTCTCCCCGTTAGTCCTCGTCCCTTCATGTTGCTTATCACGTCCTTCATTTAACAGAAATTTATTTATTTATTTATTCATAAAATCGTTATTGTTGAAAGTATTACATATGTCCCCTTTCCCCCCATTGACCCCCTCTAGGCCACCCCCACCCCCGCCCCCGGCCCTCACCCCGTTTATTTTGTTCATTAGATTCCCCATATGAGTGAGATCATGTGATACTTGTCTTTCTCTGACTGGCTTATGTCACTTAGCTTGATACTCTCCAGGTCCCTCCATGCTGTCTCAGAAGGTAAGAGATCCTTCTTTTTTGCTGCTGCCTAGTATTCCATGGTGTAAATGTACCACAGCTTTCTATCCACTTGTCTGCTGATGGGCCCTGGGGCTGTGTCCAGATCTTTGCTATTTAACAGACATTCCTGGTTTCCAAGGTCGAGTCCATGAGCTACCTCCCTCAGGCTTGTGCCTTCGGAGGTTGGAGAACTCGGCTGCCAGCGTCCGAGTGCCGAGTGCCTGCGGCTCCGCCACAATGTGGTGCCTTAAAACCACAGGAGCGAGTTCGTGCGCATTCTGGAAGCCACAGTCAGCCGGGGTGTGAGCGAGGGGGCGGTGCGGCTCCAGCATCTGGGGCTGGACATCACCCCAGCTTCCACCTCTGTCTGCGCGCAGCCTCCTCCCCGGCGTCTTGGTGCCATGTCTTCTTGTTTGTTTGTTTGTTGTTAATCTTGACCCGACGATATTTTTTTCCATTGAGTTTTAGTGAGTGTGGAAGGGAGGTGGAGAGACAGAGAGAGAGGAAACATCAATGTGAGAGAGACACATTGAATGGTTGCTTCCCACACTCGCCCTGACCAGGCCAGGGATTGAGCCTGCAACCAAGGTACCTGCCCTCGACTGGAATCAAATCTGGGACCTTTCAGCCCATGAGCTGGCGCTCTATCCAAGGAGCCAAGCCAGCCAGGGCTGTCTTTGGAGGCCACCAGTCCTTGGACTTGGGACCCACCCCACATCGAGTGTGATCTCAAGATCCTGACCCGAAGTCCATTGGCAAAGATCCTATTTCCAAACGAGTCAGCCAGGCAGACGGCTGCCGGCGCATCGGCTCCTGTGCTCCATCTCCCTCCAGCATCGGTCCGGATGAGCAGGTTGTCCCACCAGGCTCCCGCGCTCACTGTCACGGGGCAAGAGCTAGGCGTCCGGTCACAGGCCTCCTTCCCGCATCCCAAGCTTCCCCACGCGTTCCCACCGCCTGACAAGCTGCACGCACTGCCCACCAAGTTCCCGTAAGCCGCCGAGTGTGTGGGTCTGGTAGTCTGCGCACAAGCAACTTGCTTTTTACTTTTAATCCTCACCTGAGGGTGCGTTTTTAGACTTTAGAGAAAGAGAGAGGGGGGGAGGGAGGGAGGGAGGGAGAGAGAGAAACATCGATGTGAGAGAGAAACATTGAGCGGTTGCCTCTCGTGGTCGCCCCGCCCAGGGTTGAACCTGAAACCTGGGTGTGTGCCCTGGCGGAATGGAACCCGCAATCTTTTTGGTGCCTGGAACGACGCTCCAGCTAACTGCGCCACCCGGCCAGGCGCAAGGCGTGTCCTCAGTGACCTTGGTGTGTGTGTTCGTGTTTAGGGCAGAGTCTTCCACAACTTCGAAGCCCTTGCTCTTACTCTTTGAAATTGTCTCTAAAACAGACAGACACACAAAACCAACCCGGCTGGAAGTTTGATAGGAACACGGGGAGGTGGGAGGTCGCGCAGC